ATACTCAGCTTTTCAGAGTAAGTTACTCTTGGTTGTAAGCTTTTATCTTTTCCCTTTTGGAATACTGTATTCCAAAATCTCCATTTTTTAATAGAAGCTGCCAGGTCTTGTGTGAACCTTGATACTTGAACTTCTTCCTTCTGTATACATGAAATGTTTTTTCTTTAACATGGAAGCTCTGGATTTTAGCTCTGACATTTCTGGGACTTTTTCTTCTGTTTTCATTTTTGTTTTAGGATGTAAATGGTAGATTCTATCTTTACGTTGTCTTCTTGGTCTAATATGTCTGGACAGTTTTCATTTATGACCATGTCCAGGCTTCTTTTTTTTTCATGGTTTTCAGGGAGTCCAATGATTTTTTTTTTTTAGGCAATTGGGGTTAAGTGACTTGCACAGGGTCACACAGCTAGTAAGTGTCAAGTGTTTGGTCTGAGGCCAGATTTGAACGCAGGTCCTTCTAACTTCAGGACAGGCGCTCTATCCACTGCGCCACCTAGCTGCCTTGAGTCCAGTGATTCTTAAATTATCTCTCCTTGACCTATTTTTGAGGTCATTTTTAAAATATCAGATTGCTTGCATTTTATTCTATTTTTTTCAATACTGCATCTTGTTCTAATACGTCTTGCTGTCTCATGGAGTCATTGATTTTTGTTTGGTCTCTTCTAGTTTTCAGGGAGTCCATTTCTTGAGTAAGATTTACTTCATTTTCTTCCAAGGTACTTATTTTCCTTCCAATTCTTTCCTCAAGAGATTTTATTTCATTTTCTATCTCTTACTTAATTTCTTCTAGGTATTCATGTAATCCTTGTAGAAAATGTATGTTTTTTTGAATCTCTGCTTATGGTTCTTATATAGTTAAATTTAAAATAATTTTTATACTGGTCAGTATATTTTTACTTATTTATCTCTCCAGTTTTAGTTCGTGAACAGGGGCTTTGTGCCAGGGCTAGGCTTTGCCTTATGCTGTGCTTTTGGGTAGGGTGGTCAGCCCTCCTTCATTTTGCCTTTGTCCCCCTGGGTCCTTGTGCTGACTTATCTAAGCTACACTTCTGACTTCCTCTACCATGCTCCCACTTCAGGTACCTACTCCTCCCACCCCCTTTTCATCTTTCTTTTACGTGTCATCTTCTCCCATTAGAATGTAAACTATTTTCCCAGTGCTTAGCGCAGTGCCTTGCACATGGTAAGCACTTAATAAAAGCTTGTTGTTGTTGTTGATTTCTACCTCTTGGGGTTAACGGTCCCTTGGATCTTTGTGGTTCAGATCATTGGATCTACTGGGCCCTCTCTGGTGTCTTAGGACCGTGTTAGGGACTTCAGAGGTCCTGGGCCTGAGCCATCTGGGTCTGAAAGCTGCTGTATCACACTGGTCAGCATTCTGCTGGTTGTTCTTCACTATTGCTCTGTGGGGCTTTCAAGGTTCCCAACCTGAAGCTTTCTAAATGTCCTGGGGCTTTCTCAGGAGAGCTCTACATTCTTGCTGCCTCTGGACATAGAGCCTTGCAGGCTCCACTCTTCCCTTCCTTGGTTGATCTGGTACTCTCTTGAAGCTCCTGGGTTTCTGGCTGCCGTTTTGCATAGTTCTTGATTGGAGGATGTCATTGTGTTTTCTCACTGGACTTCCTGATCATTTCGTGGTTTGGTGCACACTTTGGGGTTTTCCTGGAGTAGGTATGTAGGAGCTGTGTGACCGGCTTCCCGTTTGGGTAGCCGTTTGGTTTTGTATTTTCTACAGCTATACCAGCCTTGCCAATTCCATGCAAAATAAAGTAATTGCTCCTGCACAAGAGGCCACACTGCCCCAGGACCTTGTAGCAGCTGCCACTTTTTCCCTGCTCAGTACAGTCAGGCAGGGTGTAGTCTCTCCCATGGGCCTTCCCACAGCATCATTCTCCTCCCCACCCACCTCTAATTGGAAAGTTACCAGAGAAGTCACCCAGTCCAGCTTGTACCTAAGATTTAAAGAAGCCCTTCTACAACATTTCAAACGATCTCTGCTTGAAGAACTCTGGTATGCTGGGGGTGGGAATCTACTACCTCCCAAGGCAAGTCATTCTGTTTGTGAGTAACTCTGTTTGTTAGGCAGTTTTTCCTCACGCTGAGATTAAATCTGCTCCACTGTTATTTCTCCTCATTGCATTTGCTGCTCTGGGCCCAAGGGAAGCACATTTAATCCTTCTTTTATATAATAAGCCTTTTTAAGACATGTATTATACCCTACATATTTTGCCCCCCATCCCCAGTCAAACATTCTTGATTCTTTCAAGCAGTCCTTGAATGGCATGCCCATTGAATGTCTAAACACTGTCCTAACATAAACCTTCTTTTTTTATTTTTTATTTTTTAATTTTTTTTTAACGTAAACTTTCTAAAACAAAAATGAAATTTAATTAAGTCCTTGAATGGCTAAAGGTAGAGGTCCTGAGTTCAAGTCCAAATTCTGCTGCTGCTTACTAGCTCTGTGACTTTGGATGAGCCATTTAATCCTTCTGGACTTCTATTTGTTGTCTCCAAAATGAGGGATTTGGACTAAATAACCTCTTAAGATACTTTCCAGCTCGAATTTTATAGTCCTGTGACCATCCTGGTTAACTCCGCCAGGATGCTGTCCTGCTTATCAACATCCTTCCTAAAATATGGAACCGGAACTGGACACAGTTTGCTACCTTCTTCCCTTCACCCTCCCTTGCTGGACAATGCTTTACTTGATGTTGCCAACGGTCTAGGTAGCTTTTGGTAGCAGCCAGGTCTCACTGTCGGCTCATATCCATCTCCGGCCACTAAAGCCTTCAGATAGTTTTCACACAAATCCTTGTCCTTCCATTGTAGCTGCTTGGTCATTAGAGGGGCCATCTTCCCCCTTTACTGGAAGAGGCACCTCCCTAGCTCAGAAGCGATAGGAGCACAGTGTGCCTCATCCAGCTTTGGCCTGAAGAGCAAGGAGGAGTTAGTGAGGACGGGTTGGCTTTACTCTTTGGGGGCTTCAGCTCTTTGGCCCTAGCCTAAGCTTCTCATCACCTTTCTCATGAGTCAGCCATCTTCTGATAGAATGGAAGCTCTTTGAGAGTACACACTATTTCATGCTTTGTATTTGTATCTGTAGCATCTAGCATAGTGTCTGATTGATACACAAAATGTGCTAAATGAATTCTTGTTGATAGATCAGTTAATTGATTGTGTTTTCACCACATCCTTCTTTGGGGATCTCATGGCACTTTGCTAACCATAGCTATATCAGGAGGACAGATAAGCGTGCAGAGAAGGTAAGTAGTTACATCTGAGATCACACAGTGGACCCAGGAACCCCAAAGCAGGAACCCTACTTTCCTACTTCCCCTTCCCCATTTCCTGGGACCTGATACTTCTTTCTGTTTCCCAGAGACTAGTTTCCTATTCCTTTCTCCACGCACCAGAACCTGTCTAGGGATGAGGGGTAGAGAAATACGTTACTCTAAGATATACCAATTGGTTGTCAATGAGACTAAAAATTGAGGGGTTGAGAAACAGCTTGATCTGGGACAGCAAACAGGACCCAGACTAGCAGACGAAAATCAGTTGGTCTAAAGAGATAGGATGAAGTAAGGCATAATGGCATAATAGAAAGAGCATTGGATTTGATCTGTGACTCTGCTGTTTATTAGCTGTGTGACTTCAGCTAAATGGCTTTACCTCTCTGGGCGTCAGTTCAGTTCTGGTAAAATGATGAACTTGGACTGGTTGATCTTTATGAAATGACACTGCCAAAATTAGGGAAGTCAGGAAGAGGTCCCGGGCAGAGGTGGTCCTGCGTATGACGAAGTGTACTGACAGTGGTTTACAATATGTTCAATAAATTGATGATAATAAAAAGTATTGTGTGACTTTAGAACATCTGCTCTGCTTCATTTGAGAAGGTTGATGAAAGAAGGAGAGGAATTGCATTCATTTTAACCTATGGAAAAGCTGATTTAAATCCATTTCCAAGCTGATTCCTCAATGTCAGCCAAGCTGTGTTCTAATGAGCTGTTTCCCATTTGTGGACGTTGAATTGAAAAGTATTTCACATCTTTCTCTACAGGTGCTGGTAGCTTACATAATTGGTATTTAAATGAAAGCCCACAATGTTCCTCCATATCTGAGGGGGGCCATGACTACATTCTCATAGGAAAAGCATCACAGATTTTAAGACCTTGTTGAAATGCTTGGTCAGAATCATGTGTCACTCCATTATTGCTGCTGAGCGCTTAGTAGCTGCTTGCTGAGCAGAGAAGTGCCTCTTGGAAGCTGCCTGCCCATTCAGAGTCCACATGACATGGGGCCTGAGACATTCTACCTCTGACTGACTGGAATAGTCCATTTGCTATTTGCCACAATTTTTATTTTTAAAAAGTGCTAATAACTACAGCTTGCCACAGGCAAGTACATTTCAGAACAGTTTTAAGAACTGAGGAGTGAATGCATTGCCTATAAGTCCTGATGTGTATGCATTCCCATTCAAGGCTTTGCACTATCTGGTCATTCTACCTTTCCTAAAGTTTTCCCTGTCCCTTTTGTCAGAAATGAAATTCCCCTTGGGACATACATAGCACTTTGAACGTCTCTTATGCCCTTATCATGTATGGCTGTGTAGTATAGCTCCGTGGCTCATTCCCCAACTAGACTGTAAACCCCGGGGGGTAGGCATCATGTCTTATTTCAAACTTTGCATCTCCCCCAAAGCTTAACCCAAGGTTTTGTAAATAGTAAGCTCTTAAGAAATTATTTTTGAGAGGAATTAAATTAGGAGGTTTCTGTTTCAGTTTAAAAATCATCCTGCTCCTGTCAGGCTAGAGTGGAGATAGGGTCTTTATCAGCAGAGTAGTACTTAATGCAGGGTAGGTGACAATGTGAATAATGATCTGAAAATGAGATTTGTGGACCATCCACAATGCAGATCATGAAGAGTTGACTAGTAGAGATAAAAAAGTAGTCTATTTTAGGTGCCACTAAATATAAGTCACCTCTGGGTACGTTTTTCACAGAATGGCCCAGGGTTCCAACAGAAAAAGACTGCTGGTTGTTAACAACAGTCAGAAACGATCTTCAGAGTTGGATATCTGCTGCCTATTGAAGGAGCCTGAAGCAAAACCAGGCACCAGCTGAAATCAGCAGTGGAAGTTCAGACCTATTTGCCAAACAGACAGGAGTAGAATACTAAGGAAAAGAAAAGAAAAAAACTCCAAAGCAAGGTACCTGACAATATTCTTTCAATTCCTGTAAGAAAGTTGGAAGGCATTTGGAAAGTGATAGATGGAGCTTTTATTAACCACTTACTATGTGCCAGGTGCTGTGCTAAGTTCTGGGGTGGGGGGGGGAGGAGGGAAAGAAGGGATTGGAATAGCCATTTATTAAGCACCTACAGTGTTCTAGGAACTCTGCTAAGTGCTTTACAAATGTCTTCTCCTTTGATCCTCATAGCAACCCTGCAAGGTAGGTGCTGTTATCTTCATTTTCCAGTTGAGGAAATTGAGGTAAACAGAGGTTAAGTGACTTGTCCAGGATCAAACAGCTAGTAAGTGTCTAGGCCCTGATTTGAACTCAATTCATCCTTACTCCAGGTACAGTGCCTCCATTATACCACCTATAGCTGTCAAAGCTCTGGGCATACAAAAACAATACAGTATTTAGCTTGCATTTTAGTAGAGGAAGACAGCACATAAAGTGGAATTGTAAAGGGTAGGGAAGAAGAATAGAGGGTCTCAGGATGCTGTCTTACCCTGCTAGTGTGGAGGTAGAACGGACCGGAGCAAGCCAGAAGTAGAGAGGTCAGGGCTTCTCATGATATGGGGGTGAAGGGTAGGGGCTCACCACTCAGCAAGTTGTCCTCAGAGTAGAGTCAAAAAGATGTTGAACCTGATTTAGGCTCCATTGAAGGGTTTTGAACAGAGTGATATGACCATATTTATGTATGTAATATGTCTGCTACCCATGTAAGATATGTATGTCCAAATGGTCTAAATGTGGCTTGCGAGAAGCATTTGTAGATATCACAGTTTTGGAATCTTGCCCACCCCTCCTTAAGGGAGACTATGATTCCTGCCTTGAGGGGAATAGGAGAAGGGCCACATGATTAGGTATTTCTTCCTTTAGTCCCTTAGGAGGGTATTGGACTAAAATTATATCTATCTGCACTCTAATTGTTGCTGATCTAAGGGTATGATTTGCTTCAAAACAAAATCTACTTCTCTGGTTACTAGCCCTTAGCTTACACTCACCAGTTTAACTCCTTCCAACCACTTATCCAAGCGAAATAGCAAATGGAAATTCCAGAAGTTACACAAAATATACCAAAAAATACACAAGTGAATAAGCTCTCCTGCTAGGAGCAAGTTATCTCCACCCAAACCAAAAGAGAAGCCCTTAATCTCACCCAAGGGGAAAAGCTCTCTGAAGTCTCCAGGGAGACAATCTGGAAATCAGGGACATGTTGAGGAGCCAGTTTTCCCTCCATTTCTGGAGTAGGTCCCAGAGAGAGTCTGATACCATGTGTCCTCTTGAAGAAAAAAATGTTTCCCCTCTCTCAAGCTCTCCACCAGTTCTTCCCTCATGTAGGCTTATAGCCTTGTGTCATCATTTTCTCCACCAATCTGGATTTATCCCTAGGGAATCACCTGAAAATGCACCAGACTTTGGGTGTAAGCCTGTTACATATAATCACGGGTATGCTGGTAATCGTTTAACAACTGGCTCTCCAAAACAATCAAAGTGTACTCATGACACATGTATAAGTTTAATCTGTGTCATTAACATTTGCTCTATTGCTTGGGAATCAACAGACAATCAACAGGACGATAATTCAAGCCGTGATTTGCAGCATTTGTGAGGTGTAAATGCTCATACTGAAAATTTAACAATTGACTCCTGCAAGCAGATTTGAGCTGGCTCTAGCACACCCCTGAGATGCAATACAATTGAATTCAAATAGCACTGAAGCAGCTAGTTGAGACATCCAGGTGGAGCTGTCCTTTCGGTCCCTTGGAGATACTGCTGGTCTGGAGATGTGAGAGAGTTCAGGGCTCAATGTACAGATTTGAGAATGCCTGCTTGGAGGTCATAACTGAGCATGAATAAAACCCAAGAAAGACGTGAGTCATCTCATATCTTTGTTTTAGGTCCTGAAGGATCTGCTTCTGGGAGGTGATGGTGTCCATTCTTGGCCAGGAGTGAGGATCAAATAGTTGAACAGGGTTTGGAGAGTTGGGAGAGAGTGGTCTTGGAGTAGAGGGCAGTTGTACTGCTTTCCAGCATTACTCAAGTTGAACTGTCCCAATATGACTTCATGATTTTTCCAGAAGTGTTGTGAATTTCCAGAAACCAAAGATGTTCAAACATAGATATAAATATACACATGCCAGTACATTTGTTGATTTCATCAATTTGGAAGCTCCCTCCACCAACCTAGATTAGTAACTTGTCTAGAACTTAGTATACAAGTCTTGGGGAGTTTCCTGAGGCTGAGGGGTAAAGTGACAATTCCCAGAATCCCTTGGCTAGTGTGAGACAGAGGGAAGATTTGAACCCAGGTCTTCCTGACTTCAAATCCAACACTCTGGCCCCTATGCCATGCCACCGCTGCATAAACATGGTAATACTTTTCAAATAAAAAGAATATTGATCTCAGCATCATTCACCAATTTGGTTTATTCATTCTACTTCTTTTAGTGCAAATGCCTTGGAGCTTACTGCCCTGAGCCCAAGACTCAGAAGTCCCCAGTGTTACCTCCTGGTCAGAGCGTGGCACTAAGGAGCCCTTAGTCATTTAGTCAACAAGCTTTTATTAAGCAGTAGGTACTGTGCTAAGCACTGGGGATACAAAGAAAGGTGAAATATGCCAGATTCTTGCCCTTGGGGAGCTCATGTTCTAATGGGGGAAGACCACCTGTGTATTTAGCAAATATCCTGAATAGTTGGTAGGTAAAGCCAGGAAGGAAAGCCTTATATAGGCAGGGGAGGTCAGTGCGGGTTGATGACCTGGGAAAGAACTGAGGGATAGAAGAAAGGGAGGACATGGTGAGGATGAAGAACAGGGTTAGGGGTTGGAAGGTAAGAGCAAAGTTGGACCTTCACCAGCTCGATCACTACATAGACTAAAGTTGTTTCTCTCTCTTCCATGGTCACAGACCGTGCTCTTAACTTCATCCTTTGAGCTCCCAGGGGAGAGAGGGCAAAAGAAGATGGCTGCAGGGATCAGTACATATTGTTTCCCCAACTAAAAAAACAACTCCACATACATCCTGCTTGGTCAGTTCGGTGGCTCAGTCTGGAGAGACATCTTTATCTGTCAAAGACAGCACATGGTAAGTGAGAGCCATGGTTCCTGTACCTTCTCACGTGGCATTGTCATCTAGTCCAAATGGGACTTTACCCTGAGACCTTGGCCTCCTGAATATGCCTGGCCCTCGCCATTGGCCTCGTCATTTCTTGTTGGGTAAGCTGGTCCTCCTCAAATGCCTTTGATTCCAGTTGGTTCTGAGTATAGCTGTTTACTTGGTATTTCTCATTCATTATGTTCCACTTGTTTTTTTATTGGGTCAGAACGTTAGAGTTACAGGGTCATAGGATCACAGATTGTAAAATTTAGAGTTGGAAGATCCCTTCTAACTAGTCTAGTCCAGCTCTCACTTCAATTCAATTCAAATAAACAAGCATTTATTAAATTCCTACTATGTGCAAGGCATTAAAGATACAAACATAAAACCAAACTTGAACCCCTGCCCTCAAGGAACTTATATTCTATATTTATAAAAGAAGAAATTGAAATGCAAAGTCCTGCAGGAACTTACCCAAGGTCACGTGAAGGTCGTAAGTGGCATAGCTTGAATTCAAACCCTGATCCTCTGATTCTAACCCCAGCACTACAATGACTGCTATGCTACCTCAGTTGGCAGACTGTCTACTAGCTCATCTTGTGCAAAACCTTTATTTTACAGTTGAGGAAATGGAGGCTCAGGGAGATGAATTAACTTCCTTGTGGACACAGAGCTAGTTATTAAAAGAGTCAGGGCTGAAACCCCGGTGTTCTGATTGTAACCTTATGGCTCCTTTCTGCTATTTCATTGATACCACTTTGACACATGAAATACTAGCACGGCTTTGAAATCAGTTCCCCAAAATGCTGGACCTAGTACCGGTGATGACTGAATTTTAGTAATTTTTTTATCTTGAATAGCCATAGCAGAACTTCATAAAGAGAGGCCTGGAGGCATCTGCGTACACAGTATCCATTAGACCAAAACCAAATGTGGAGACCATGTGAACCACTGATGAGTTCACTGATATTTAATGAGGTTACTCTTACTTCTGGCCTCTACATAGTTCATCACCTTTTTTTTCCAGCCACTACGTAGCTCCTGCTTCTTGGTATCTCAGAAATGACTTGATTTGTCTTTCTCTTTTTGTTGTCTGTTCATTGCTTTGAAGGCAACCCCATTATACTCCATATTTTGGACTCACTGGAATCCAGGAAGGTGAGGGATTGAGAGGCAGTGTGGTACAATGGAGAGCATATCGGACTGGCAGTCAGGAGGGACCTAGGTTCAGATCCTGCCTCATATACTATGGTGACCATGAGTAAGTCACTTTGAGACCCAGTTTCCTCATCTATAAAATGAGAATGATACTACCAATAATACCAATCTCACAAGGTAGGTAAGAGCTTCTGTTGAGACAACATCGGTAAATTTCTTTGCTAACCTTGAAGTGCTATGTAAGTATCAGCTGTTATTGTTATTATTGTTATGGGTCTGAAAACCTTGGTCATATAAGGACCAGGTGAAGGAACTGGAAGTATTTAACCTAGAGAAGACTTTGGAGTCATGACAGTCTTCAAATATTTGTATTCAAATAATTTTGAAACAAGACACTCCATCTCTCAGCTCCAGTCATTTTCTTTGGTTGTTCTTGTGCTCGGACTCCTCATCTCCATCTGCTGGCTTCCTTGGCTCACTTCAAGTCCCAGTAAAAATCCCATCTTCTATAGGGAGCCTCTCCTAACTCCTCTTAATTCTAGTGCCTTCCCTCTCTTAATTATTTCCTATTTATCCCCTATATACCTTGTTTGTACGTATTTCTTTGTTTGTCTCCTCCATTAGACTGTGAGCTCTTTGAGGACAGGAACTGTCTTTTGCTTCTTTTTAAAAAAAGCCCACTGCTTAGCTCAGTGGTGGGCACTTAGCTTAGCTTAAATGTTTATTGATTGACTGACTATTTGAAGGAGAAGAGGAGCTAAATTTATTCTGTTTATCCCCAGAGGGCAGAAATAGGACCAATGGGGAAGCAGATTTTGGCTAAATTTAAAGGAAGAGCTTCCTAATAATTAGAGCTATCTGGCAACAGGTTGAGCTGCCTTATAAGGTAATGAGATCCCTGTCATTGATAGTGTTCAAGTAGAAGCTGGTTTGGGATGTTGTAGAAGATATTGATGCTTCTGAAGAGGTGGTAGAGTTAAACTGCAGGACTTCTGAAAGTCCTTTCTGATCCTCAGAATCTATGTTTCTGGGATTTTGTGAATCATTATTGGCCTGATTTCTTAGCCAAATGAAAGAAAATAGACATGAATAAGTTGATTCAATTCAACAAGGACCTATTAACTAACTACTGTGTGCTAGTCATTGGGGATTCCAAGATAAAAATGAAACAGCTCCTGCCCTCAAGGAACTCTACTGAGTGATGTAACATTTAAAGAGATATGCAAATCCAAGGTCATTTAAGGAAGGAGAGAGAACTAGAAACTGGCAGGGTCAGGAAAGGCCTCTTAAGGAAGAGCTAAACCTTGAAACCTATGAAAATAGGCCTATGATCCAAGAGACATGCTGTGGAGGGCTCGAAACACCAGGCTGAAGCTTGGTTTTGTCTAGGGAAACCACTGAAG